AGGGAGAACAAGCAAGTTGGTGTGAAGAATACTAGTTTTAATTTTAACTACGAGGGCATTGATTTATTTGTTGAAAAATCAAGAGTAGGCGATGATTTTGGTGGTGAAGAGGACATTGTAGAAGAGGTTGGTCAATCGAGATTAATGGCTTTTGTTGAGTCACAAGCCATTAGGATAGAAGGCATGAACCATATTAGGCACACTCTGAACTTCTCTGAAGAGGTATAATTATTGCCTTCTTCTTCTAACCTCTCCTTCAAATCATGTGCCGAAATAGATTGTTGGCCCGCCCCCCCTCCCCTTAAAAAAAAAAATAAAATCTTTCTAACAAAAGTTTTCGATGCCCTGCTCTTCTTTACCCTTTCTTCCACTCCGGCTTCTGGAAAGGGCTCACAATTTAGACCTATCATCAAGGAAAATTTCATCATCCTAAAGCGCAGTGGGTTCCCATCCACCACATTTCATTTCTTTTTTTACATTTAACAGAGTGCAACAAAAGATAATGTGTTGCCTGCCCCCAGAACCCCTTATTCCAATTCTCGCCTATGTCCACAAAATGACCAAAACAACTACTTTTGAATTGGTCCATACCTCTCATGTGCCTACCTAGAATCTCCTTTATTCTCGTAAACACTTGCCAACTTGACCTTATTGTCACCCTTGTGGGGAAGTATGACATAATATCCATAACAACCTCTAACCCATACTCTTTATAATTTATGCTTCTACCAATGTTTTAAAACCCGGCCCAGTCCGACCGATTAAACCGGTTCGATCAGGAACCAGCCTTTAAGCCAGGTCAGGCTAGCCCCAAAACCAGGAATGTATATTCACCTAGTTTGACCCACGGTTAGACCCAGGTTACTGTAGCAACACACCGATCCAACCGGTTTTGGGAGAAAATCGGGTGAACACTTAACGCCAGATTTCAACCCCTAAAAACCAAATCTCTTTTTGTTTTTCCCACATTTGGGTTCTCTATCGAGCCCTAACCGATTTTTCTCCCTTCCATTTGCGATTTCTTTATTTCGTCTCTTCAGTTCTTCTTTCATTTCACGGCAACACATTCGTTTCACTTCATTTTCTTTTTGCTGGGTTCATTGGAAGAGTTTAAAAGGTGGGGTGAGGTGCTTAGTAAGGTGGGTTGGGGGTGCATGCTGTTTTTATTTTTTTTTGGTTTTTCTGTTGATTTTCTTTTTAGATTCTTCCCATGTGTGGTCCTACGGCTGTTGGGCTGATTGGTGGTTTGGGACTGAGTGTTTTGTGGCCTGCTATTCTGACCAGTCATGCGTGTTTGATGTGAGGAGGGTGGCATTTTCTCTAGTTGGTTATAGTTGTGTGTTGGTTGAGTGTGATGCAGTAGGCAGCTACTATTGTGGTTTTGAGGAGGGGTTGTTGTAGCTATTTTCTACTTGATTGGGCTGGTGTGTCGCCTGTTTTATGCTGAGTGGTTGGTTGTTGCCATAGGCTAGTGTGCTACGCTAGTTCAACTTTAATTTTGCTTCTCCCTCTCATAAATTTACACGAAAGAAGATTGAGGAAGAATTTTTAGAAAGTAAACTCTGCTTCTCCCATTTTCTTCTTCTCACCCACGGCTCACTCTCAATTATCTCCTTCTCCTTTCAACTTCAAATAATGCAATCCTTTTATTATTATTTTTAAAAAAAAAAATCTTTCATTTTTTATAAGCTTTGACAAAACCATAGGTTGAAATTGTGCGCTGCCATCACAAAAATTTATTTTGATCCAACATAAAAACAGCAAATATCTCATGCACCCCTGGTTTTAATGAAATGTTTTTTAAAAAATATATGCAATTTTTATGTTGACGTCAACATGATGGCGTCATCGGTTGAACCAACAAGTTCAACCGGTTTAACCGACCAACCCGGGACCTAGTTGATTCAACTGGTTTAACCAGCCAACCTGAGACCCGGCCAGTTTGCCAGGTTTCATCCCAGGTTTGTTATTAAAACATTGGCTTCTACAACACTGCACAATCGATATAAACTAAATATCAGCACAAAAAGAAACCAAAACAACCAATAGGCTACCAATCTAAGGGATATGGGCTTGGAGGGCATCGAGAATGGGTGTTTTTGGCTTTGAGAGATCGGCGAAGCCAAGGCAGGCCCTGCAGAGGCTGTTGTGGCAGGTTGGATGGTTGGAGATGGTTGGGGGTGGCAAAAGAGTGTGGAATAAAGGGGTTGGGGACTGCCCTGCATATTGTAGGGCTAGCCACGCATGTAGCTGTGCATGACCAGCTCTGGAATATGCAAGGCAGCCCCCAACCCCCCTATTCCACTCTCTCCTGCCAAATCCAATCCTCCAACCTCCCACAAACAACCTTCCTAGGGCCTCTCTTGGCTTCCCCGGTCCTCTGCAACCAAAAACACCCACTCTCTCGATGCCCTCCAACTGCTCAACAAAATGCAACAATCATTCTAACAACCAACACCAACCAAATATCCCCAAATTGGCACCAACAACCAATTATTTCATAAAATAGTAAGGAATATTACCTGTTCTTCCTCCTCCTTGTTGAAATTTGCGTCAGCATCCTCGTCTTCAAACCCATTTTGGAAGCCTGCCATCTCTTCTTCTACTCGCGTGGTGTCTTCTGTCGGCGGCATTTCCTCTGCCGGTGGAACAACTTCAGTCATCAGAAGTTGCTCCACCGATACCTCTTCTTCTCCAATCTTTGATCAACCACCAGAGTCTAGAATTTTGAGAGGGGCTAGGTTTTTCTTAGATTCTTTGTTAATCTCAACCATTGTTTGTTTGTAACTAACAGGGGAATGTGTCTTCAATCCAAAGAGCAAAAGATTGACACCATGCCAGAAAACAAGAAGGAAAATTGCAAGAGGAATGGCTGGTTTTCGTCGAGTCGCTTAAGCCATTTGAATGGGGGGTGTTTGTTTTAATTTTCAAAATTTTAAGCAATTTCAGTTTACTATACTATCACCCATATATGTTTTAATCCTTGCACTCTAACCCTTTTTGAATCTTTAACGATACTTAGGGGGTGTTTGTCTAAGCTTATAAGTTGGTCAAACTTGCTTATAAGCTCTAATTAAGCTAACATGTTTGTTTATAATTTTTTTGAGCTTATAAGCTAAAAAAAATAAGTTGGGGGGGAGGTACTTTTTTTTTTTTTGGCTTATAAGCACTCTGCTTATAAGCTAGTTTGACCAAGTATATTACCACATTATCCTTGTTTAATTTTAAAATTCTCTAGTATGCCCTTGTTTAATGTAGTACCATTTTTAGTCATTTTATAATAAAATGTACTTATAAGCCACATTTTACCAAACACATCAACTACTTATCAGTCACTTATAAGTACTTTAACCAAACACATAATTGCTTAAAATTTCAAATGCTTATAAGCTAAAATTAGCTTATAAGTATTTGTTGCTTATAAGCTAATTTTCATAAGCTCAGACAAACACCCCCATAAGTGTGCCACTGTCACTTTTTCAAACTTAAAAAAAAAATTCAACACATTTTCAAGCTGAGTAATGCTACAGCCACCGACGGTAATGCATTGAATTTATGTACCGAATGATGTGACAAAATCCAAACCGTTTATTAATATTAAGTTAAAATTAATCAACGGTCAAGATTTTGTCACATCATTCAGTGCACAAATTCGGTACACTACTGTCGGTGACTGTATTATTTCCCTTTCAAGCTTATTCTTCAGTTGCAAACTTGAGAAGTCGTTACAATTGAATTTCCTCGCAAAACATGCCGGCGCTTTTGGCAAACCCTCAATTTACCTGCATTCCCAACTCAACAAAATCACTAGAAAACTTCAACACAACCTCTAAATCTCGTCACATTCTCCCATTGTTCAAGGGTTGCACGCATTTAGTCCAATTCAAGCAAGTGCATGCCCAAATCATCAAAACTTCATTTAATAATAAGACTATCACCGAAACCCAACTAGCGAAGTTCATAGAATCTCTGGTGAACTCATCTGAAATTGACTACGCGCGTTTAGTTTTGAATCAAATAGTTAACCCATCGACTTTTGCTTTTAACACCATAGTTAGAGGCTACGCAGAAGCTGGTTTAGGCCATGAAGCTATTCGACTTTATATCCAAATGAGATGCAAAGGGCTAGAGCCCGATAATTTCACTTACCCAATTCTTTTAAAGGCTTGTGGTAGCCTTAAACAAGGCAAAGCTGTCCACTCACTTGTTGCCAAGAATCAAGATTTTAAATCGGAAATACACTCGCTGACTCGTTTGATCACGTTTTATTGCGGTTTTGGCGATATTGATTCCGCCCGGTTACTGTTTGATAAAATGGCACCCGTCGGTGTATTCTGTAATGCCTTCAGACAAAATTCACGAAACTAATGGGTGAAAGTGTTCCATGACCCTAATTCCAACCCAATTGCATCAGCACCCCATAACAGAGAACCCGAGGGAGAGACAGTAATTGCTTCTGACATCAAAGAAAGGGAATTATACATAAAAAAACATTTGAATCCTGGAAAATTTGATTTAAAGATTCATCTATTCTACTTCGCCTCCTTACATTAAATTGAAACTACGACTACACCATCAAACTACACTACCAGTTTGCGATTTAATATAAGTATGATCTCTCCATTTGATACACCAGCACTCAAAGCCCTTGCAAGACGTCAATCCGCTCTGCTACAAGACATTCTTCAGTTCCAACATTTCAGCATATTCCTTCTCCATTATCAGCTCCAGATCTTCAAAATGCTTGATTTTGCAGTGGCAATTTCTTAACTAATTATGTGTTTATGAAATGGACAAATATTGGAGCTGCACACCGGTAAGTCTTTCAACAAGGAACAAAGAGAAATTGAAATTAAAAAAATTGACCTACTGTGTCTCAATCATGGTGGCCACTAAAGTGTTCAATTTCCCTGTCTTCCTGATCAGCTAATAATTTGGCATTAGAAGCAGCTACCCCAAGAGCAGTTGCTGTCGCTGCTCTAATACGTAAAGTCAGAGGTATGTGTTATTTTCTGTGCATGTCTCTTGACTTCCTATAGGAAACCATACAATGGAGTGATTAGAAATGATACAAAGTAACAAAAAAGCTAATAAATGACAGGGAAAGCTGCCGAGTATTGAAAAGTGTAATGAGTGACAAAATCTGCTATAGACAGATAGAGAAACAAAATAACGAACACTAAAGTCATATATTTAGAATTATGTGATGAATGAAAAGATTTCACATAAAATAGGAAGTAGGGAGTATAAGTAGCAGAGAAACCACAGTTGGTACCCCCAGCTCCTGTAAGCAAGTTACTTATGCTGTCTAAAAAATTTGTACAATTGTGATTACAACAAATACCTGACTGGGAGGATGTTTCCTTTGTCTCTAAAGCACCGACCTGATATGCCCTGAACATTAAAAAAAAAAAAGTAAGATAATGTCAAGATCACAGTGATAACAGAAAAGCTAACCAATTGACTTAAAGCATCACTGGAATTAAAAAAATAAAAAAAAGGGGGGGGGGGGATGGGGGCATAGTGGGAGACCATAATCTACATACTCCTCATTGTCATCAAATATCTCCCTGGACATGAGCTTTCATACAAGTGCCGTGATTGCAGCTCGGCTGCAGCAGCAGTTATATGTGGGCCCCCATGGTTGAGATAAGAGCAACCTAAAGAAACAATGTCAACATTCATCACACATAGAAAGATAGGATGAAACTTTAGAAATCAAATGTTTATTTTTCTTTTTTATATGATTTATTAATGCTGAGACAACAAAAAAAAAAAAAAAAATATGATTAAAGCTGGCAGTCTGTAGTCGATCCAAAAGAGCAATCTAAAAAGTAGATTACAAGTCCCTCTTTTTCCTATTTCTCCTGCCAGCATATGCACACGTAAGTATGCAATACCCACCGCACACATGCAAACCACTAAGAAGATTACACAATCTGAAGTTATATAACAAACTTCCTTTTCCAAGTGAGAAAAAAATAAAACTGATAATAAAGTAAAATTACTACAGAATAATGAAAGGACAGTCTGGTATGGTTCTAAATGTTATGGTCTGGCCAAGCACCTTTACTGTTATCAATGAACCACCAGCATCCGAAAGGGAAGCAATTCGTATTCTTTTGCAGGAGGTTCCTGGTTGCAGCATCTCCATTTTGCTCAGTCTCATTCATCTGCTCATGAACCTGATCCTCAACTTTAGTGTCTTGATGCTCAGATGAAGGTATCAGTCCATGTGTAGCAATATTCGAGCTACCAGTGGAGCCATCAGGACCACCCCTTCCACGGCCAGGAACCCATTATAAACTCCCCAAAAGGCAGCTCAATGAGCTTGAAATACAATCGAGTTACACTCTTAGTTTAACATTTTGAGAAACAACTCCCAGTCATCCCATGCCTCATAACAGATCTAAAAGAAGTAGGATTTCAGCCTCAGTCCAGGTAGATCCAGAGTAACATTTTTCCATTGCCATCATTAAACTTAAAATCATCCATAGACTGTTCTCCCCATAATCCATTTTGAAACATTTACACAAATGTGAAGCTACCCTGCTGACGAAAATAGAATTGTAAAGGGCATTGCAAGAACTATAAGAAAAAAGAAAATGGAAATAAGAGGATAAAAAAAAAACCTCATATGACTCTTCAGTACATCTACTCAACAGAGGTTGGCATTATTTACACGTCTAAGATATACATGTACAATAGAATTAGTATCAAGGCTGAATTCTATATTCAGAAGATTAAATTCCCAGAAAGTGAGGGTTATCAACTTTATACTCTTAAAGTTAACCGTCCAAACCATATTAGATGTAATGTAATAAAACATTCAAGTTCAATAGCATAACCCACATATCATCTAGGAAGACCACCAATAAAATTGCAATAGTAAAATAAATACAATTCAGGAAACCATAATGAGTCCAAACACGGTGCTGCACACCAACCAATATAAAAGTTCTTAGCAACACCTAATATGTCTTTCGCAATATTGGTCCCTTATTAACCAAAAAAAATGTATAAACTAACTCATAAGCTCAAAAAATGGAGATTGAGCAGTCACAAATAGCATGTGGATAATGCAAGACCTATTATTAGCAGTCCAGCAACCTAAGATCAAATATTAAAAAAAAAATGAAAGAATTTAGAAAACACGACCCAAAATAAAAAAAACACGGTAAATAGAAAGAAGGTAGCGACAATTTCCAAGCAGAAAAGAAATGAAACCAATAGAAACAAAACACATCGAATGCACAATACAAACCATATAATTCTAAGCTAACAACATCGAAAGCAAAGCACATTAATATATATATATACCTTGCAATACTCATAGCATCGGAATCACATTCTCTCCGCAGCTCATACTTCAAACCCTTCAGCTTCACCCAATCACCAAAAACATCTGATACGACGCCAGGGGGGGCAATTTAAACCCGTTTTCCACACCAGCACTTACCTTCCCCTGCAGACTGCGGAGGCGACAGTGGTCTCAAAGAATTTGGCATTGCACCACACGAACCCCATTCGGGTCCTTCCTCAACCCTAACTTGATCCTGAAGTTTAATGTCCTCCAAGTTATCTCTATTGTCACTCGCAGTGCACCAAAGTTTATCAAAACCCACTTATCCAAACAATTGAAGACTTTATGGAGCAAACTAACGTCACCCCAAGTGATTTCTAACTTGAGTGAATGTCAACCTTCTGTAAGGCTCTTCTGTACTTATTTATCAGAAGTCCCGGTATTCTTTGTATATTTTAGGAGTTCTTGAAATTGAGCTCCCATCAAAGAACTCTTTTAGAGCGATACGCTCTGTTTCGTGAATGTCATCCACCCTAACCAACCTAACAAAATAAAAGTTAAAAAAAAAAAAAATTAACTATTTCTTTCCTATAATTTTTTTGCTGGAAACTATTTTCTCGGGAACAATCGAAAATTTTAGGTTTATTAAGAGAGGCGAGGAGGGAGAGCTTACTGGAGTTGCTTGGAATGGTATAGAGTTCGACGTCGGGTCCGCCGGAACGATTCGGTTTAGAGTTCGGGTCATGTTGTGAGTATCCATTTCAGATTTGGATCGGGAGTTGATCGGAACCGATCTAACGATATTCGTTCTTTCGGAGGTCTAGGGAAGTTGAGGTTTTTTGGGTATTCAGAGGTAGCTAAGAACGTCACTGACCAATAAGAATTTGACTAGTGGATGCCGACCCCACCATAATTACTTCCGTTTTTAAAACATATTTTAAATGTGGAGCATTTAGGCTGTGAAGTTAGAGCTCGCAGTCTCGCAAGTCGCACTTAATAATACCTTATCATTGCCCCTAAACCTACACAAATTTTTAATCACTAAAGAATTCTTTTTCTTAGAGTTAGTTACATAGGCGGATAGGCCTAGTCAGGATTTCAACATTTTATAGCGGGGTATTCGACGAGGAAATATTACATTACTATAAATAGATTAATAAAATTAGTTATTTTAGAAATTATGAGAATAGTTAGATAAATATATTGATTGATTGAACAAATTGCTGAGTATATTATATTAATATACTTAGTTTGAAGGAATAAATTTGTGAACATATTATATAATTTATTAAATTATTTTCTTACATAATATATAATTATTTTTATTATTATTGAATCATTTCATTTAACCTCCTATATTTGAAATTTTGTAAAAACCTCAGCAAACAAAAAAGTTTAATTCTTAACAAAAACACCCCCACCACCCTAAGTCATTATCACCGTTGGCCACCACTATAAGCGAGGAGGAATTGGCTATAACAGCACACGATCGGTCGGATCTGGCAACCGTGGGTCGATATGGCATTTTTATTACCGCTAGAACTGGTCGTCGTTAACGGCCATAGTTTTGGCCGTGACAACCACAATGTGGTCTTAACGGCCAAATCAGTAGATCTTGTGAAAACAAACATATAGATCTGACCTTTCTGGCCAGATCTACGGGCATCTAGCCGTTTTTTGTCGTTAATATGATCGAAAACTTCCATATCGGCACACGACGACAACTTTGACAGTGGTTGGCCAAAGCGATGGTGTGGCTGGCATGTGATGGTGGTCCTAGGTGGCCTTAGGCTGTGCAAAACCGGGTACCCTACGGTGTTTGCCCGAAAACCGGGTACCCAATATTCGGGTACCCCTAAAAGGTACCCACAAACCGAACGCTTTTAAGGGTAACGGTTTTTCAGGTACCCTAATATTGGGGTCAAAAACGGATACCTGGTTTATGACTCGAATTTGAATATTTGCATGAATTCTGTTTTTTACATTTCAATTCAATGTGAATCAAATTCTTCCATATACTAAATCAACTTTAATTAATAACTTAAATACTTAAGATTTGGGGTTTTTGCCTCTTGCTCTTTGAAAGTGTAAAGGAAAACAGGTTTAAAAACTAGGTTTTTTATTTTTATTTTTTTAATTTCTAATAAAACCCGGTTCTTAAAATAATTACCCGATACCCGAACCGAAAATTTGGGTATACATAATAAATAACCAAACCGACCCGAATTTTCTAGTTCGGTTCTGTTCGGTTCAGTTAACAGTTTTTTTTGCACATCCTAGGGGGCTGTAGTTGTTTTAAATATAAGGGCATTATTATCCAAAACTAATTAAATAGGGGTAAAATTGTAATGGTAGATTAATGTAAATTGATTTCAAAACAAGGGCATTTATTGTCCAAAATTTTTATAATAAGGAGTAAAATTGTAACAAAAAGTAATTACCAAGTGAATCTTAAACTACCTAAAAAATATGAGTAATCAGATTATCTCATATATACCAACAGTAACTACTATTGGTTTAGAGATTACTGGAATATTATATACTTGCAACCAAATGTGGTAATCAAGTAATAAAAGCAGGGTTTAAAATCCGGCTCGGTCCAGTCGGTTGAACTGGTGTCCATACCGGGTCGGTTTGTTAAAAACCGAAAATAACAATTGACTTGGTTTCGCCCGCAGTTGAACGGTTTTTGCCAACGAACCACGGTCCAACCGGTAAAACCCAGGCTACTACAGTAAAAATAATAAAATTAAAACTTAAAATAAACCTTTCAGCTTTCTCTTCTTCCTTCCCATTTTCATTTGACAAAACCAAACCAGCAGAGAAGAAAAATCAAAGAAACCCATTACCAAAAACGAAATCAGCTTCTCTCTCCCCTTCCCCAATTTATTCAACAAAACCAACACCAGCAGAGAGAAAAATAAAAAACCCATTACCAAAACGAAATCAGTCTACGATTGGGCTTCTTTGATTCAGATTTCAATCAGCAAAATCTTTAACTAATCTTCAATCTTCGGGCCTTCGACGACTTCTAAACCTAATCTTCCAAATTCGGTTTTATAGCTCTTTTCTTTGATCTTGATATTTGGCAGCTCCCTCAGGGTATGTGTATTCGTTGTTGTTATCTGGTATTGTTATTGTCAAGTAAGTTTGGTTTTTGTTTCGTTGTGAGATTGTTTGAGATAGAGTCAGAGAGATTGTTTGATTATTAATATTAAGAAGTGGGTTTGAAACTTGATATTGAAGAGGTGATTGTTTGGTGTGGGTT